AAAACCGACCAGGGAATTACGTGCGGAAGCCTCGATCCGTGGATCTGTGAATGAAATGGAGTACACCAACGAAGTTGTCTACTCAGGACGCACGAAAGACCACACCCTCATTGAGCGTGTCCAGCGGGCCGCCACGAGGATGGTTGCCAGCCTCAAATCCGTGGACTACGAAATGCGTCTCGTGATACTTGATTTCTTTCCCCTGGAGTACCGTCGCCTCCGAGGGGACCTAATTCTTACTTACGCCATGTTTGAGCAAAGCTTGGTAAACAGGTTTTTAACCGTTGACCCAGCAAACCCCCGGCAGGGACATAACAAGAAAATTTTCAAGCTCAGGGCACACACATTCATTAGACAAAATTTTTTCATTGTGTATCAATCCGTGAATCCGTGAACTGAAAAGTGACCTTGAAAGAAGGGTGCCTGTGTGAAGGTTGTTGACCTTGGCGGCATATGGCCCCGTTTCATTCCGTTTCAGACCCGCTTCAGCCCAATGGGTAGTGTTATACCGGATTTCCAAGCTAACTGCGTATAAAGACCACCACACATTCACTTAGAGTGACATTTATGCCTGTTCATCTGGATTTCCCTCACTTGGGTGCCCAACATAACGGTCGCGGGCGAGAACCCGTCCCTCAAAATGTTCTTGAGTGCTCTGATTCTCAAGGTCTTTGCACAAAGCTCTCCGATGGTGAGTTAGTCCTTGATTGTTTTGGTCACGTTCAAGCTTTGAAATCCTTATATGTAAAGTAGCTGTATTCGATTTTATCCTTTACCATGGCCGAGGGTTCATCAGTGGCTTTTCAACGGTTCCCTGAGATCTGAGCTTAGGTCTTAAACTTTTTCATCCAAGCCAGTGCCGCTCTGACCTCGGAACTCTGCATCACAAAAACTTCCAGTGAAATATTCCTAGGTGGCATGTGTTTCTAGTCATCCAGGGATTCTCAGTCTCTAGTGGCTGGACGCTAATTCCACGTCACCCAACCAATTTTGATTAGACTTCGCGGCTTGATCGTTTCGACAAAGAGGAGTGTTTTGAGGTCATTGGAATCACTGGAGTACCTTAGGAGCTCTTGGTTGGGTTTTTCATGCTCCACAAGTTTTTAAAATTGGGTCACGTTTTCAGTTATCGAGGCAACACGACCGTCTAACTCCCGCAAACATATGTCGGACTACTGCCTTTTAGATGACCGTTTTTTAATATTCAATGAATTTTGTTAGATCCTCTGAAATTGTGAGCGTACCACGATGGACTGGAACGCCAGTACTAGGTTCCCACGCCACATCGTTGCTGAATTCTCCGGAGTGATTTCGTAGTCTAGTCGCTGTGGTTTGTTGGTTTGTAGTGAAAATGCATGTTGTAACACGACGAGCATTCTCTTCGGGTGTCCGTATGATTCGAAACCAAATGTTGTCCATCATCAACCACGGGAAAAGACGGTGTACAAGCATGAGCAATCCAGACATTCGTCAAGCCTTGAGACCTTCCACTCCGTTAAGGCCATATGGTCCAGTTTTGGCTGGCTCCTCGATTGAAGGCATTGACTGGCTCCATATATTTTCAGTGATAACATCGTTTAGCCGCTAGGTTGCTGCAAGGCCGCTTATGCTTTCTTGGTACTCAACAATGCACGGCTTACATGTGTCAACTGGAATTCGGACGATGCTCCCGATCGGAGGACCCTACGCTCTGTATGATCGTTTAGCTGCTTCGTCCTAAAGCTTCCCTGATGTTGAAATATTCTTCCATGGATGTCTTTCAGGTCGGCAGTCAGGTAGTGTATGCCAATGATGATTCACATGAAAGGCGTGATTTCACTAGATTCTTGCTATCGCTCACCCATTGTCGTTTTGTTGCAGAATCCCTCGCCCGGCTACGCAAAATTGTCGACCGTCAAAAGGCTGAGCTACAGTTTGGTAAGCAATTTCCTTTTTCTGCTGTTGGTGCACTTCGTCCTGTTGGATATGTTTTGGAAATAGCACGTATACTGTGTGGTCTAATTTAACCGCCTTTGTAATAGCCCTATTCTGGATGTTTGGATTGCTGTACATCTGTAACAAAGTGGGGTTAAATGCCCAGGTTGAAAAGAAAAAAATGAACAGATGCAAAGCAAATGCACTCTCTGCTCTGTTGCCTACGTTGTGAAGTAAATACCTTGCCGATGACTGGTTTGAGTCTGTCATACATCATCATCATCATCATCATCAATGACAGCAACATCAGTGTTGGCACTGATGCTTCACTGCCGTCAGTCATACACCGTTTGAAGTTCGTTACTCAGTGACAGCGACACCAGTGTTGAACAGCGGTTAGTTTACCATGATTCCCGGGAAGATGCTTTTTTCAACGTTTCGTTTTTTTAGTGACTATGGGCAGTCGTAAACTGAAGACATTAAAGGGTCAAATATAGTTCATGATATCTCCATCCGGAAATACGCATCTTCTCTTATAGTCAGCTTTGGCAAAGTGAATGTTTTATCTTAGCTGACATGAAATGCAGCCCATACGTCAGTTGTAGACCCTGTGCCAAAGTATGGTAGTTTCGTGAGGATTTGAGATTGGGCGAGTGTAGCTCTTAATACTTAGGGAGGGGGTGGTCTAATTCATCTGTACACTGGTGACGTCTCCCCGATTAGTAATTTATAAGCTAATTGCCAAGCTCGGTGAACATGTCATCAACCACTAATAAACACTCGAGTTACCAATATTTCGACACTAACGTTTTTATCTTGTTGCATCTGTGATTTCCCCGCTGATTAACGGGGATGTCCAACGTGGATTTGAACGTCGGAGTTTTGAAGCTCTTCCAGCGTCTGCATGATTATTTAGACGATCATGAATGGGGTGTGTAGGTATACCTGAGGGACATTTTGTATACAGAAGCTTTTGAGAAGCTCTTCATATACTATCGCACTCAGAAGTCTGAGAAGTCTGAAACCTATTAACAAAATTCCGGTGCAATTCTTGCTGAGCAAGCTTTTTAAAAAGAACAGACCGTTCAACTGCGTGGAATGCGCTTCGAAAACTCAGGAATACTAAAACTGGTGGCGATTCATACTTATGGCACCTAGCGGAATGTAAAGGTTTGGCTAGCACAACCCCTGTAAGGTCGGAATTCTGTTTGGCGCTATCGAGGGTCACCATAAGGCGGCGGAGCACAAGCGACGCTGAGTCTCATTGTGAATTGAGCCAGACTGATCCTTCCGTGACTACTGCGGTCACTACAACTCCTTTTTTTAAAATAAAAAATGGCACCATCTCCGATTCTATCCAGTTATCTGAGAATGTTTCTTTCTTCCAGATGGAGTCAGATAGATCAATCAAGCACTGACTTATTACTTTACTCCCGTCCTTGGACACTGAGGGTCTGTGGTCATCCGGACCGCTCGAGAGGACATGTGCAACCGTAAATCCCCAAGAACCTACAGGGTTCCAGGTTAACCTTCAGGGGTTCTGTTGGAGTTCGAGGATCCAACTAGGAGACAGCATGTAAGGAGGACTGTTGTTCAAAATGCCCGGTCAGGTGTCTTGATTAAAGGCTGTCATGCCATTTTAGTCCTTTCTGGCTTCGTTCACAGACGATTTGTGGGAACCACCTGCACTGAAATAATCTTCAGACATTCTTGGCCTTCTGCGTCCTTCCCTTTAGTCATCTGTGTCAGTGGCTGGCACCGTGTGGCCAGACGACCTCAGTTATTTTGGAAGCTGGCGTTGCATGAAAGTAGTCTGCGATCAGCACATAGCTGTGGCAGCCGCTCGCCAAGATCTGTACCTACGGAGTTTGATCCAAGTCGACCATCGAATCAAGTCTCAGATGCTTTAGGCCTCTCCACTTGTGCATTCAGATCTCCATAACATATTTTAGCTCACATTTTAGCTCGACGTAACAGAGCAATGAAGGCTTCATAAAAGTCTTCTCTGGAGGTGTCTGAGTTAAAGTTGTTTGGGCGTAAACATACTCGACAAAGAGGTAGCGATCATCCTCCCGCTTGTGAGGTTCCTTCATCTGCGTTGGTAGACAAACCGCGCGCGGGCGACTATCAACGGGTATCCGCTGAAGCGAGACTCCCTCTGCCTGGTTACTTAGGACGATGCCGACTTCTGTACATCTTGTCACAGTGACCTGGTAATCGGCAGAAGGGCGCAACCGGAAGCGAGTGGAGATAGATGGGGTAGTTTTTTAGCATTTTAAATTATTGTTTCCGATACACAGCACACATCGTTGTCAAGCGTGAGAGCAGGAGCAGCTTGTTGTCCCGCTCGCTTCAGAGTCCGAACATTCAATGCAGCCAGGTAGACTGGGCGTCAAGGCTCTAAGGTGGATTTCGAGGTGCCTGAGGCTGTCACTGTCGGCTAATGCGCAGATGCTGCGACCAAGTCCAATGCAGGATGAACAGGGCAGTCAGTCCTAACAGATAGGCCTAAAAGAATTCCTAACTGGGTATAGAGGGGAGGGGAAAGTAGAAGTATGCAGAAAAGGAAGGAGAGAGACAGTAGCCTGTTTTGCTTGCCTACCCTTTTGTTCACAGGACGGATGAGGCTGATGGTGTGACGCGACTAAAGTGGCATGTCAACATCTTTTGCTGTAGGAATCACGGTTGTACGGGGGCCTCCGAACTTAGACAAGAGGATGATTAGGGTTCTCGACGAAAGCCTTTGGCTCCGATGCCTAACCACAAAGCAGTGGCGTTTGGCATGAAATGCAAGTGCATTCCCACTTTTTATAGACTAAGTCGGCACGTATGTTTCGACCCCCAACCCGGAAGCCCAAGAGACTGTTGGTCCAACCACTGGCGAGCATGGTACGAGAGACCATGAGTGTGGCGCGGACACTATAGTATAGTCTAATGGATAAAAGAGGCACAAAAACCGTCACACTATTGTATGGCCCGGCTTCTTGCTGACAGGCTAATTCGAAACTCTATAAATATGGAAACTCGGTTGAAAGTGAGTGTAAATCTAGATGTGACCCATACATCTGGTTTGTGCGTATCTATTAGGTATATGCACCTTATGCTTTTCTTCATATCAGCCTACATGGTCATATGATTATTTTGCATTAGAACTAAATCTCCTGGCTAGCAATATTTTGTGTTATCGAAGTGTTAATTATCGTTGTTGATGGCAACATTGGCGAAGACACTCGTGCGCCACTCCCATACACCCTTGTCAGTTTATTTGAATTAACTCCTGATTTTATATCCAGTGCTTCGATCTAGTTGGTTTCGCTGTCACACAAGCCTAGCGCCTTGCATTTTGAAGAGCTGTGTACAACAATTTCCAGAAAGAGTCGATATTAGAGAACCTATTGTCTAAAAGAGAATCTTGTAGGTTCAGCACCCTTTCGGTGCCCGGCTGTCGTGCGACCCGAAGGAAGCACGAGGGCTGGGATACTATCAGGTTGCTCAAGCCTAGACAGAGGAAGTCGACAGGCAGAGGTCGGGTCCGAACGGCGGACCTTCCGGTCAGGAAATTCGCGCTCTAACCACTTGGGCCATCTCGCCCTTCACAGGTTTGCCTCACATCCGGGTCCGAGAGCTTCTCAGTGGCTCCTGCGGGATGCGCGCATCACGCGTTCTGAAAAGCGCATCGACAAGCGACAATGAACCACGGCGTAATCTGAATCTACATAAATGTTTCAGAACGAGCGACAATCTGTAACCAACCCATGCTACCTGTAGCTAATGGCGGTATGATCTATCCTTGCTGGAGGTTGGTTTGCATGATGGGGCACCAAGTTTCCAAGTGGCTTCGCTTGTTTCGGAAGTTAGTTCTGCACAGAAGCAGTCCGTAGTCAGCACATAGCTGTAGCAGTTGTTTGCAGTTGTCAGTGCGTTTCGGTTCCAGCGCAAGGTGACCATTCGACTGAACCTCAAGAGTGCTAAGTCAGCCTTCGTGCACATTCATATCCATAGGAACCACGAACTATCCGAGCTCTTAGCCCACCACAGTAAGGCACTCACAACTCTGCAAAAATGCCTTTGAGGCTATCAGAGCCAGTCTGTTGGGGCGTAAACAGGTACGAGTACAAGTAGCGATTATCGACATGTTCATGGGATACTCTCAGACATTGCCAAATGTGTCGCACACAGGCGACTATCAGCGGACAACTGTTCAAGCAAAGACCCTTCAGCTTGGTGGCTTAGGGCATCACCAACCCTGGTAGAACCAGTCGCAATGGCTTCTGTACCACCAGAGATGCGCAACCGGAAGCGAAAGGAAATCAATTGGGAGGTCAGTTTAGCATCCATATTTGGGTCTTGAATCATTGTTCCAAAAAAGATTGAATGCGGTGCACATGCAAGAGTAGTCTGTCGTTCGGGTTTTTTCAGAGTGTGAATCTTAAAAGCTTTCAGGGTCTAAAGAATGATTATGATCATGGCGGTCGAGCTTACTGTAGGTATTGCAGCTAATGGCAAAGGCCGGTGAACGGATCTGCCAGTCCTTACGAAATTCCCTTTGGAAATGTGACTGGCAGCTGGGTAAGTAAGGAAGAGTAGTGAATATCTGAAAGTTAAAGAGGGGAGGCGTCCGCAGCTCATTGGTTAATGGAGGTACACAAACCTTTACACTGCTGTGGGATCCTTTCCATTCTTCAGTATTACTGTTTTTGAGTGGCTATAGTACACTCTAGATTTGGGGCTCACCTAGAATGCTCAGGAAGTGATAACTGGGCCACTGTATAGCTTTGAACGGATTGCCGGCTTTGCTGTAGTGAGGACTATGCGACAATATGCTGAATGGCTTGGTGGAAATCATGCTCCGTGTTGTTGGTTACCCTACCAATAAAGTAGTTCCTCTCGCCTCACATTTTTAGTTTTAAGTAAATATCTTGCATATACACAAGTGGGTAATCATTATTTCATTTGTTGTATTGGCCCAAATTTATTGATGCGGCTTCATGAGCACTATAGGACTTTAAGGCGAAAAACGGTTTGTATGAGCACTCCACACACTTCAAATGCTGATAGCCACTTTTGTGCCATTCTTGATTTCCATGAAATCGTTTTTTCGTGAACTCTGTTGCAGCTCACTGGTTTAGGATAGCCAGTTTGGCTGACAAAATGTAGTAGATCATGGAATGTTGTTTCTAGGTAATGTAATCCAGTGGTTGGTGTATCATGTCTGTTCTCTTGCTTCTGTTTAGGTCAATCTGATGAGTCGGAAAAAGCCCAGGAGGAGCCGGATTTTCTTCTGGAACCCTCTGAACGGCCTTTGTTGCGAAAGGTGACAGAGGGGTTACTACCTCCTACCTACTTCGGTACGTTTGACTATGCAGCCTGCTATTTCAGAAATTTCAACCTAGATGCGTGACACTGTTTGCGTGAACCTCTTTAACACATTTCACTTAATGTACAACAACCGACTAGAAATCCACTGTAAAACGCAGATGGTTCCTTATGATAACTGCCTCCATTGTAAACGATAAAAACTGATAGATTCCCACTGAGTTTTCTTAGTGTCTCATCCCTGGGATAACGAACCGCGATTCAAAGTTTCAGCTTATACCTGTCGAGGCGATTTTATTGTATATCTCATATGCATAATTCCTCCGAATTTTCTGTCCATTTTTTAAAAATTTCTCAAGGATTCTCCTTCTCCCAAACCAATGGTCTCTTGGTGAATGATTTCGAACAAGCCGTTTATCATCGAAGAAGTTTAACCATACCTTCGAGGCTTCTTCGTCAAAAACGCATCCAGGACAAACCGAACAAACGTATGGTCAAACGTATCGTCGCCAATGAGAGTGACCCATCGACCCATGATCATTCACGTAAACTTGAAGAATACGGACCAGGATCATGGAGGGTTGGTCAAGAACTAATTCGGCGACACTTTGGCATGAAGAGATCCAGTAAAGAAGGTTCGTCGGCACACTATTAGTCTTCAATTTTTATTACCCTGTGTCGAATTCGCCTGATAAAACACGTCTTCAGCTGGATGGTGTCATGTAAGTAGCTGGTTATGCGTACTGGATGACGTGATGTACTTCAGACCACTCATACTGTTTCATTCCATCCAGGCATTTACGAGTCCTGCGTAAAACAGATTTCTCACAAAAACTGTTTGATTGCCAAAACAGCTGTTCCGTTCTGGAGAGTCCACTTGGAGGCGCCGACCAAGAGTAGTCTCTTGTAAAGAACAGTTTCTCCATAGAGGAGCCATGGCATTGTTCCTTTTCTTTCGAGCGGTTAAACTGCCGTTGGCTTCCTTCGTCCTGTAGATTTCATGCGTCTAACGAGTACTTTGCACAGTTGAAACGTCATGTGAACATGTATTTCCGGTGATTCTTTTTCCTGTGAATACAGCATCCTTCCACTTGTGTTATCTGTCCAACCTAGATATTTATAATCATTGTTCCCTATTGTTTATTTAGGAATCCTTTACTTTGATTCCCCAGTATCGCTTCCGTTCTCTCTTTGCAACATTTACATCTCCATACGTGTCGCACACAGAGTGCTACTTAGGGCTAATCCCGTTTTTTATTTCCTGTCTCCGACGTACTGTTTTATTGGTTTTCTACAACTGTATATATCCCAATTCCCCTCGTGAATCAATGACCTTGTTATTTTTTCGCAGACGAACTGGAACAGGAGGGAAATGTAGCTTCAGCAAAACGCTCTGTTGAAAACCCACATGGTTCGCTGATTGCACATTCCGATGGTGACGGTACGACGAGACATGGTGACCCAATGCAATACGAGAAAGATGATCTACCAGCTCCCAAAACATTAAATGGATTGAAAAGGGGTTTGTACCGAAGAGAGCGGCACATGAACGTGAATGACTGCCCAAGTACGGCTCTATATTTGGACTAGTTAGTTATTATCTGCTACAGGAACCAATAAAATAGGTCGTCTCACAACATTTCTCTCCATGATGCTTATGTTCATCACACTTAAACCGGTAATCTCTCATTTATAGACACCGATGGTACGGTATGCAATCGAAAGACCAATGTCTCACGAGCGGATTTACAGGCTCTTGTTCGAAGACAACGTCAGATACGCAAAGAAGATCGTCGTAGGAAAGAACAAGCCGAGACAGAACGGCGGGAGCGCATCAAGCGGAATCTTTCAGCCACCGCGTTAGCTGCTGCAGCTGCGGCCAAGGCCCCCGTATCTCCAAATAAGAAGAAAATTAGGATGGCCTACGGTGAATCCTTTCAACCAAACGCTAAGATTTCGACTGAAGTAAGTCATCATTACATCGGTTATGTTCGTAAAGTTTGTCGCGGTGGGAAAATTGACTGTTGCTTCCACTCCTCTTTTTCATCTCATTTCGCCGCTACTTTATTTGGAAGTTCTGTCAGAATACGATGGCCCCAGTGGTTGGACGACGCATATGAACATGCCACAGTAGTATTCTTCCTAAGGGAGACTATCTCTTCTACTAAGAGCTTGAGTCCATCAGTTCAGGAGTGCCCTCTCTTTGACCAGATGGTTGTGAATCATAGCCATCCATCCATTTGGAGTGACGCCCGAACAGAAGCCCCTATGGGGAATAGTGATGAAGCTTCACAATCCGGAACTGACTGAATAATCGGATATGCGACCAAGAACTTAACTAACTTCTAGTGCATATTGATAGCTTTTTCTCGTGGTCCAGTATCAGTTGTCTATTAGAATTTTGAAGAACAGACTTCCGAGTTCCTTGCTCGAGATAGTTTGGTGACTAAGACCCGAACCTACTGATCCGTGGTTTGAACCCAACTTCTGAATCTCGGTTCCTGCTGTTTAGGCTTGAGCAACCTGATACTAGCTCAGCCCCTGTGCTTCCTACGGGGAGCGTGCTAGCTGTCTACCGAGTGTTACACCTAAACGATCTTTTTTTGCTCAGATGCACGGAGGATGAATGCTCTTGAGAGTTATCAACGTTGGTGGAGGCGGTTTGGCCAGTAGCATAGTGGCCCTTTTTGAAGAGCTTATCTCCTGGCTGCGTATGTCGCCTAAGCTGGTTGTGTTAGACATACGCGCCTAGATGGCTAGCTTCGATGATTGGATGGTTCTATTGGAGATGATATGATGTATGGCCCAACTGTTGCATCATCCATTTTTAGACGACTTGGTTTCGACCATGTGGTTATTGTTGTCTGTAGCATGTATAGGCAGTTATTCTCACCGGGGTTTTCAGAATACCAGTCTTTAATAGGAAAACAGAAATATACATGACTGTTAAGTGGAGAGAACCCTGTAACAACCGAGGCTACGGAATACTACTGATACAAGTTTAGTATCTACGTTATGATGCTTGTATATGCGATACTGTCCTTCAGAGGAGTCGACTGTAGTTGAGAGTTACGTATGATGTTTAATGGAGGTGGAGGCTATTGCGGTATCTTATATGCGTTCGGATGCGTACAAAATTGTCATAAGGCAGCAGATTCAGTGTCCTCAAATTACTTCTTGCGTGGACCATCCGCTGACTTTTGTGTATGGGAAAACCAAACTATTGTAAATTTGGATGTCATTGTGACAGATAAAGACAAATACGCATTCATTGGTAGCAGATTAACGATCGGAGCACTTTTTGTTTATTCTCTTTACTTTGCCTTTACTTTCCCACAATTATAGCTTCTTCCAATGTCTGCTGGGTCAATAGCGCTCCAGCAGAAGCTTGATGAGTTGCTTGGAACTGATGACGACCACTACCGCCTTTCTGAACTCACAACACATGTACCGAATGAGTCATTCATCGCAGACAGCATGCAGATTGGACCTGAGTTAACATCATCTCGGTCGGTCGCGCCATCCGTAGCCAACACAGAATCTCGTAAGTATCAAGTGACATCTAACTAGTAAAGTGCTTCACAGCTATTCCGTGATACTCCAGATACACATAGGGGGCGAGATGGCTCAAGTGAATTTACTGACCAGCAGGTCCGTGGTTCGAATCTGACCTCTGCATCTCGACTAGGCTTGAGCAACCCGGCAGTATCTCAGCCTTCGCGCTTCCTTCGCGTGGCACGGTAGCTGGGCATCGGGTGTTACAACTGAATGATTTTTTTCAGATACATTTGGCTCCGTTCTTTTCCCGAGCATATGGATTTCACTGTGAACGGTTGTCGGGTTATTCTTTCTCAGCTGACTAATCTTCATCAATGTTGGGAAATCCATGAGAACTGTTCACTGGATCGTGTTCTTTTTATCAGCACTAGTTATTATGTGTTCTCAGTGCTTCATTAAAGAGTTCACGTGTAAAGGTGTGTCTTAGCATTATTTTTATGGCCTGCAGCATTCTAAATTTCGAAAAGCGCCTGTACTTTGCTGATTGCAAGTACTTTGCACGTTGGCATCTGGCTTGAGGGTTTATTGTGTCTATGGAATGTGAATGGCGCCTGCGTCTCATTGATCCTTCAGCTGACAAGATTGTGAACTTGTTTTCGGATGACCTGAGCTATGTTTTTCTAAAGACCCCTAAATGTGCCTCTTACCCTTCCGTTTTGGTAGTCTGCACACCGTTTGTGGTGTTCGTCAAACTTTTGTGAAGGAATGGTCTCTAAACATCTCTTCGTTGTTGCGTTTAACTGTACATTACCCGCGGCTAGCATCAAGTGGCCGTACTGTTTTCATATCGTACTTGTAGCATCATCTACCTAATGCGAGATCCTGCGGACACCAGTTGGGCGTAGACTTCAGCGTTGATGTCTTTCGGGGACGAGTGATCTAACGTGTTTTTTCGTATACCCATTTTTCATATATGGAGTGAATGTCAACAAGCTGAACTTCGGAAAAGCGCAAGTTATTCAGAAGTTAGACTAGTACACGCGAACTGTAGGTTTAGATGAAAATTTGCTCACCAGTAAAGTCTTTGTCCAATAGGCTAGTTTGATGGTTTGATGCACAGTAAGTGAGGCTGTAACGAGTGAATCGAGTACTTTTGTGGGTGAAAACACGTTTTAAATGACCCAACTTTTTCCGTCAGATCTGCTGTGATTAGTTTGACAGAGTGCGGTAATTAGCATCGAATAAAGTATTGGGTCAAGAAGAATGCTAAACACTCAACCGGTGAAATACACTCATTTACAAACTAACTTAACGGGAGACTCAACTTAATTGCAGTTGTGTCCCGTTTATCATACCCTTCAACTAGATGTATTGTACAAAGACCGCTTCGTGTTTCGGTTTCGAGATACTGCGGTATATTTTCTTGATGGCACGCCCTACTTGTGAAGAGTTTTCAGCAATCATAGAGGGTGGGGGGGGGGGGGGGGGAGAGGGGACTCTAAAACTGTTTGCTCGCACACCAGTCACTGATAGTGTTAACAGCGAGTGTTCAGTTGTGTTTTGTATAGTGGATAGATGTACAACCGTCGCTTGCTTTCAAACTACTGGTTAAGTTGGGAGACTATCAAGAAATTTTGTTTCAAGACAGAAACACATTTATTGAGTAACGGGAAAAATTGTGGACCCCATATGGTCTCCATACATTGTTCCATTCAATGGGGTAACAGAAACGGGGCCTGTTCTCATCTATTCAAACGACAATCCTACCAGTCGACACAAGAATAAGCATGGGTTTAGAATTCAACTCCGTGGTGAGTCGCATCGCTCATTTTCGCAAATCAGCCAATCGACACTGATTTCGATAGGTCTGGTAATGCTCGATGCTATTCAGAATTTACAGTCTTTTAACCAGTAACGCAAGCAATGCAATGAAACACACGGACTGAGATGAGTTCACTATGGTGGAGTCGTTCATCTAACCTCTGAACAGAATCCATAAAATTAGTTTCCCTCTTTCATTTCGTAATAGTCACAGGTTTCCCCTGCTTGAAAAAGGCAACTGTTTTCTCTGGATACCCATCCGATGTAATTCAGGTTTGTTCTATCACTGATTTTGATGTCAGATTTCTATTTTGATATGCGTTGCGAGAGTTGGTGTTTTGGCTCGTCCACTCATCTTCCTGTTACACCGCTGGCAATGGTTACAGTGAGGTTCTAATGGTGCCCAGTTACTGTCTGGCAGCCGTCCACAAAGACAAGATTACAATAGGCCGTCGATCTCGCTTAGCTAAGCGAGATGGACCAAGTGGTTAGAGCGCGAATTTACTGACCGGAAGGTCCGTGGTTCGAACCCGACCTCTGCCTCTCGACTTCCCCTGTCTAGGCTTGGACAACCTGGCAATGTCCCAGCCCTCGTGCTTCCTTCCGGTGGCATGGCAGCTAGGCACCGAAAGGGTGTTGCAGCTGAACGATATATATATATCTA